AGCGGCGCTACTCGAGGATTTCTCGCAGTTACTACATCGACTCTTCACTGTCGACAACAGTAACGCTGTTAATCTCGTTTCCAGATAATTCCTAATTAGGCCTAGAGGAAAATGGTGAGTAGCTGACTACTGTATTATTACTTTTTAGGCTACACTCTTAAAAAGAAAGGTTCTAAAAAGGGAATTTCTCTCCCACTATGAACAACCTTTTGTGCAAGTGGTTCCCATGGATGTGATCGGTTCTTCATGGAACCATGCCAATAATTAATAACCTTCATTTTTAAGATTGTATACTATTTTAAAGATACGATGCGAGTAATTGGGGAAGTTATTTGTCTAAACTAAATTGGGTTAAATTGTAGATGTTATTATGTTTATTGTTTAATATGCATGTGTGAAGCAGATAATGCGAGGCTGCAGAGTGTATGTGATCGATAGTATGCTGTTCATGCTGAATATAGCATGCATTTGACGCGGTTCAAACGTTAACATTACATCAGTGTTAATAATTTTCGTCGAGGAGAAGATGAGCGTTTAAACGTGTCGATACTGTATTAAAACGACAATACAATAAACAGTGCAACCGTGAGCAAATTGCATCAAACCTTTAAAACGAAGGGGTAAATTTTAAACGGATGAATTAAATTACCAGCACATATTGATTCTGGTTAGAAATATTGAAAACTGTGTAGTATAGCAATGGTGTATCGTGCAGTAAAGGGTGTGAAAACACTAATCTTTTTCTAGTGCAGCATATGCAGACAGCCATAATCTCATTAAAATGCATTACTCTGACCAGCTAAGCTCAGGAAACATATGTTGTTTAAAACAGGATTCTTTAACAATGATTTAAACAGATCCATAATTATTCTCAGTGACAGAGTGAGGACTATTAATAACATAGAAAGAAAATACAGCTCTTAGCCATTGTATGGGTTGCACTTAAAGGCATACTGCAAATATTGTACATTGGAACATAGTAATGCAATTTGGTAAAATGGATTGTAGGTCTTTAAATAAACCTATGTTGATGGACAAGAAATAGGGAACAGCCTGATGGGTATAGGATGAGGAATTTGTCATGCATGGTTGCTCATCCCATTATTTTCCCATAATGTCTCCTTTTATATCTAAAGCTCTGAACTGCAAATATTGCAACACCCAATTCACAGTTGCAATATATTAACGTAATATAAGATTTGAAATAACGAACTCTACAACATTAAAACTGCTGCTTTTCTTCTTCACAACAGCGCGAATGTATTTCCATTCACGTGGGTCAAGCTGGCGTCCAAATCGGCAATGCCTGCTGGGAACTTTACTGTCTCGAGCATGGGATTCAGCCGGATGGACAGATGCCCAGTGATAAAACAATCGGTGGAGGGGACGACTCCTTCAACACTTTTTTCAGCGAGACAGGAGCTGGCAAGCATGTACCCAGGGCAGTGTTTGTAGATCTGGAGCCCACTGTGATCGGTTAGTATCTGTCTGATTACCTGCAGTCCCTTAAGGCCAATTCACACTGTACCGACAGAGCACAAACAATGCAGACAGTCCCCAGATTACAGTATTCACTTCTCAGACATTTCACAATCCAACGAATGGCGATTGAACAGAAAACAAGCGTCGACTAACGCCATCAGACACCGACGGGTAACATTGTGTCTCTTGCCGTTGGTTGGCGTCTGTCGGTGCTAGGGCTGGGTTTTGAGTTCAATACTTCTTTCGAATTTGTCTCAATACCATCAAGTATCCAAAAATCTCGTCATTCGGTACTAAATTTTGATATCTAAGTGGTTTATCCCGCCAACATCGGTGAGCCAATAAGCATGCAGCATGACTGGCTGTAAGGCATCAAGAAAAAACACTAGTTTACGCCGGTTACGCCCAGAGACGGGGCTCACCAGGAGGCTGTAGTGTGTAAGCGTCCCAACCCTCATTGATGTAAAAGATGTGGAAAAGATCAAAAGTGTGGCTACATTTCAGCAGACTTGATGCCAATACTTGCGGCAAGATAATTGCTTCAGGAACCGATATCGAAGTCAAAGTATCGGTATCGATATTGAACTTTTTTGAACGATACCCAGCCCTAGTCGGTGCAGTGTGAACTGGCCTTTATGGTTGATCCACGAGTTCCTCACGGCATTCATTCTCTCGTACTGCTTTTTTGCGGTTCAGATGAGGTCCGGACTGGAACTTACCGGCAGCTTTTCCACCCGGAGCAGTTGATCACTGGAAAGGAGGACGCAGCGAACAACTACGCTCGTGGCCATTACACTATTGGCAAAGAGATCATTGATCTCGTTCTTGACAGGATTCGCAAACTGGTGAGGAATCTTTATACGCACAACCGGCGCTGCGTCATAGAATGTCTCTGAATAGGTTCACGCCCACTTTTGGGGAAAACAAACTAGACTCCCCATAGACTTCAATACAAAATAACGACAAAAACCAACGCCCGTATACAGCCGACAGGCTGTAAAACATGTCAAGTAATTATACGTTCACCCTGCCTGCAATAGAGCGTGAAAGATACATTTTTTAGCCCAGGCTACCTGCCATCATCATCATAAATTCATAAGATATACATTAAGGTTTTAAAAAACGAAATAAAATCATTCACTGGCTTACCTGGTGACTCGACGAGGTACAAGTAAATGCCTGGGTAAGACACCTCTGGCCACTGGGTGGGGTTGTTACACCAATTTGACGCTGGGAGAGTGAAGGGACATGTTTCTAAATTGGCCAAATTAAGTTTGTGTATGTATCTTTCACGCTCTATGGCAGGCAAGGTGGATATATAATTACTTGACATGTTTTATATAACTGATTTCTTAAGTTATTTACCCTGTTGGCTGTGTACGGACGTTGGTTTTCGCCGTTATTTTTTATTGAAGTCTATGGGGAGTCTAGTTTGTTTTCCCCCAAAAGGGGGCGGGGACAAAATTGACAGTTAAGTTCCCGGATGTGCGTATAATCGCACTTAGCCTGTTTTCATTCAACCTTTGTTTTTAACTGAATATCTTTCTTTCCATTGCTCCCTCCTCATAGGCTGATCAGTGCACTGGACTTCAGGGCTTCTTGGTGTTTCACAGCTTTGGAGGAGGAACCGGTTCTGGTTTCACCTCTTTGCTGATGGAGCGTCTTTCTGTCGATTATGGAAAGAAATCCAAGCTTGAGTTCTCCATCTATCCAGCTCCACAGGTCTCCACTGCTGTGGTTGAGCCCTACAACTCCATTCTCACTACACACACCACCCTCGAGCACTCAGACTGTGCTTTCATGGTCGACAACGAGGCCATCTATGACATCTGCCGTAGAAACCTTGATATCGAGCGTCCTACTTACACCAACCTTAATAGGTTGATCAGCCAAATTGTGTCATCCATTACTGCCTCTCTCCGATTCGACGGCGCCCTTAATGTTGATCTTACAGAGTTTCAGACCAACTTGGTGCCGTATCCACGTATCCATTTTCCTTTGGCAACTTACGCTCCAGTGATCTCTGCTGAGAAAGCTTATCATGAGCAGCTCTCAGTGGCGGAGATCACTAACGCTTGCTTTGAGCCAGCCAATCAGATGGTCAAATGTGACCCACGTCACGGGAAGTACATGGCCTGCTGCCTGTTGTACCGCGGCGATGTTGTGCCTAAAGATGTCAATGCTGCCATTGCCACCATTAAGACCAAGCGCAGCATCCAGTTTGTGGACTGGTGTCCAACTGGTTTCAAGGTTGGCATCAACTACCAGCCTCCCACTGTTGTCCCCGGTGGTGATTTGGCGAAGGTGCAGCGAGCCGTGTGCATGCTGAGCAACACCACTGCGATCGCCGAGGCTTGGGCCAGGCTTGATCATAAGTTCGATCTGATGTACGCCAAGCGTGCCTTTGTGCACTGGTACGTAGGTGAAGGAATGGAGGAGGGCGAGTTCTCTGAGGCTAGAGAAGACATGGCAGCTCTGGAGAAAGATTATGAGGAGGTGGGTGTAGATTCAATCGAGGGAGAAGGAGAAGAGGAAGGTGAGGAGTATTAAGATGACACGTATCAAGTGAGCATTCAGTTTGTCTATTGCAGTGTAGAAAACATGCTGTAAATATTGGTTCTTTACATCATGTTAACTACAGATTTGATGCAAGTAATTTCGATTTGTCAGCCATATTTTATGGATCAACAAAAACAGTGTATAAATAAAATAAAATTATGCACTGACCTTACCAACGTCTGCAATAAATTGATCATTTGAAGGGATGAGTTGTGTTTGCTTTTACTGAATCCACACACACAAACACATTTCTATTCATTTCAGGTATGGTTATATTTATTTTCGTCTTTTCCTGAAAGCAACAAGAACATTTTTATCCAACAAACTTGTTTACTTTTATTTTATTCACCAAATATCAAACCTACCCATTTGAAAAAAAAACAACTTATACTGATAGTAGTGTATTTCTCTCTTTTCCCTTGCTCCCTTAAACGTTTAACATGAAGTATACTATATTATGAAATTTGCTTCATATAATTTAAGTACCATTGAGTATTTACTTGAAAATACTAATTCACATAACATATCAATTAGTTACATTGCAGATTACTTTTACAATATAATACACCAACAACACACATTACACTAAAAAATCTACCACTTATTCAAAGGTAATATATATATATAAATTCAAATGTCAAATTTTTATTATCAGGAAACAACATTTGTTGTGATGTAGTACTGCTAACCATTTTATTTTTCCTTGTGTCTAAAATTTAAAGTGCTTTAGTTAGCAATGTTAAGATTATCGATCATGAATTTACGCTACATATTTTAAATAACTTCTTACAAAGTCCATTTGTGATTGTTTAAAAAAGCATAATTACATTTAAATAAACTGGGGTTGTCAGTGCCGAAACCCTATAAAGCAAAAATGCCTAACACACAGTCGCAGTGAAAGTTATATAACCCCCTGACCGGCAAGAAATACAAACAAAAATACATCAACCAAGGCATCATTAAATAGTCTTATAAAGTTTATTAATATACATTGCAAGTTTCTGAGAAGAAGTTTGTCACTTCAAAAGAAACACACACACACAAAAATTCCATCCAAGAAGAATTTTGAATTCTTCACTTTTTATAACCTTCAATAAATGCCGTCTGTCCTGTACTGTAAGTACTTAGAAGTTTGACACCTCTCCACAGTCTGCTTATAGCTTTTGTGCAAAAGCTTCCAGTTCACTGATATTTCTTGGTTTCCGTGCTGCCATTGCTTTCTTCAAATTTACCAAAAAATGGATTTAAAATCTGGAGACTGAGCCAGCTCTTATGATCAGATCCCTAAAATTTAAACCAAGCCTAGGTAGATTTAGTCCAATGGTCATCAACTTTAAAACAGGCATTCACAACTCTGGCCCTCGAGATCCACTTTCCTACAGAGTTTAGCTCAAACCCTGATCAAACTCTCCTGCCGGTACCTTTCAAGCAGAGATGGTCTTATTATTGGGAGATATGATGGCCAATGGCTCTACCATTGGAAAATGTGTAACGGCTAACTTGGATCATGTGTGACAATCACATTACAACCTTGACGTCACTGAATTTCGTCAGTCACTGTTTGCGGATACCATTGAAATGAATGAGAAGTGTCAAACTGAATCATACCTGGTCGCGCAATTGTCTGTTACTTCTCTTATAAATTTGCATATTTTTTTTGGTGTGAACTCTAAAAATAGATCAATCCAAAACGAAAGTTTTAGAGCAATGATGTTGAGGATTATCCGATGTGGTGTCGATTTATTAAATGCTAAGCTATTCCCTCACACAATCAGGAGAAGCCTCTCCTCTATTGACATCCATAAAAAAATGGCCTACTTCCCTGCGTTAGCAGGCGTTACGCTTTTGTTTGCTAACCCTGCAGGCTTGCCTTCAGGCTTGTTTGATTAGGGTTGGAGCAAAACTCTGCAGAGAAGTAGATCTCGATGGCCAGCGTTGAGAAACCCTGCTGAGGTATGAACTGAAGGCCTAATCCATGATGCCGTTCACACGGTCAAGATTCATCAGTTCTTCTTGGTCAAGAGTGACATTCAGCAAGGAGCCTGGACATGAAATCCTTGCTTGCTAAGCAAGCACTTATAAAAAAGTCAGATTATCAATATCAGCTCTTAAACCTTGAGGGCAGTTAAAATGTGGGATCTCATCTCTATAAGCCTATGTTGAGTTCACAATTACGAACAGTGTAACTTCACGTCATGTAGGATTTCACAATCCTAGCAATGAATGACTGATAAACATGCTTGGTATAATCAGTTCCAAGTATTCAGGAATTTGGGATTTACCCAAAAGCTCAAACTTCATTTTTAGTCTTACAAATCCTCATGGACTTTCACTTTTACTCGATGCCACGCATTGCTAAGCACTCCCCGTAAGTTCCAGATTGGGGCAACAGTATCTGGCTGCATGTTGTAACTACTGTCCACTGCTTTGCATATAATCTCCAGCTCCTGTGCCTTATGAGGTAGTGGGACGTCAATCTCCCATAGCTTCCAAGCCCAGGCTTTTCCAGGTGGAGGAGGAGGAGGAGCTTGTTGTCCCTTATCCCCAGTGCGAAGTTTGGCTACATGCCATGTCTTCCCACCATCTACTGAGACGTCTACTCTGACAACCTCTCTTCCTCCTCCACTCCATGCATACCCTTTTACAGTCACCTCCCCATCACTGGCGTCTACTGAGGTTCCCTCTGCTGGATGAGTGATTGCTGACTGTATGGGGAGCTCCTGTATGGCTGGTGCCGATTTAAAGTCCACAGTGTCCCAGTCGGTACCCGGAGAAAACCCTTTGTAGTCATTCTGCTGCCAGTGACTCTTGCTCTCCTCTTCACTCACAACAATTTTCCCCAACCATTTGACATTGCGGGCTCCAACAGTTCCAGGTACAACCACACGGACAGGATAGCCGTGATCAGGCGGAAGGTCTTCCCCGTTCATCTCATATGCAAGAAGGACATCACCTTCTTCACTCAAAGCTTTGTTCAGTGGAATAGATGCGCCATACGCTGTACCGGTCACATCCTTGTCCAACCCTTCGAACTGAACATGTTGAGCCTTTGCTGCGATCTCTGGTCCAAAGCCGTAGTGCAACAGCACATCCCGCAGGAGTGCGCCTGACCATGTAGCATTGCTAATCGCGGCAATTCCCCAATTGAGTCCTTTGACTTGCTTGACTGTGTTCATCTCAGACCGACGGTTCCCAGCACACTGAAGCGTCGCTGTAATTGTGTGTTTTGGAAAACAAGACTTCAGCTCACTTAGTGTAAGGGATACTACTCCACCAGGGAGACCCTCGATCTCCAACCGGTAGGTTTCAGGATCAATCCTAGGCACTGGAAGATGATTTCGCTTAAAAAATATGACTGAGGGGGTGATGTAGTTATCAGAGAGTATTGAAGAAGGTGGTTCGGCATTGAAGGGTTTCAGATTGTTGATCCGAAGGGCAGGGTGACGTGTCGGCTCAGCAGAGTAAGGGTCTAAAGAGTTGGCGCTCTCTTGCTTCTTGATACTTTCTGTATTAAGGACACCAATTTTATACTCTGAGAGGATTTTAAGAACATGGTCTTGTTCGTGAACGGCGTATAACGCCCAGTAAGGCTCCAGAGATCCACCTGCTGCCAGAAGTATTTTGTCGCCACCAGGGTGCATGGCTACAAATGCAGTAATATCATAAACTTCCCCTTTATAGGTGACCCACACGCCATTGTCAAGGGAGCAATGCTTTGTGACTTCTTCTAGGGTGTACACAGGAAGAGCTGAAGTCTGCGTTACTGGTAACTGTGCTGAGGAAGCTGCCCACTCAACCTAAACAAAAATAGACAACGAAAATAAACAATTACTCAATGACAACTAAAGCCAAGGGAGCAATTTAATTTATAATCGTTCCTTTACAATTGATGCTTGTCAGGTTGTATGATATGAGGAAATCTGATGGAAAGACAGTAAATGTGTCACACTCTCTAATCTGAGACTCTAGTAATGATTGACAGCGTTTGAATTCTTTGACATCCTCATGACATGTACGCACACTAATTAAAGGGAATATGACGTGGCTTTTTATTTTAGTTTTTTCATGTAACGTAATTAACATTCATATAAGTTCCATATGATACATTTGCAAAACATGATTCTTCTTCTCCCTCATTCTCAGGTATAAGTAATGACTTTGTATTTGTACATGCTTCTTACCATAACAGACCTTTAGTAGATAAATTAATTTTATTTATTTATTTTTTACTAGTTGCCTAAAATTATACTTGGCAAGCCTTTGGTCAACAGTAGCGCCATTTCTGCCATCCAAACGTGCTTGAAACACACAATGCATTCCTTCCAGTCACCTATTTTGTTCATTTTTGACAACTTGACCCACCCTGAGTGCAAAGGTAACTTGTTTTCATTCATTGTGTGACATGCTGTTTTTTTGCAGATTTATATATGCTATCCTTCTTTGTTATATCTTTAGAGATTTTTCATTTTGTCTCACCTTGTCTTGGTGGAGCCTGTATGCTAAAACAGCTCCGGTACCCGCCAGCAGCCCCGCCAGAACAAATCTAAACTTCGGCCCCCTGTCACTGAAGTATGTCTGCCTCCCATGGCCACCAGTGCTCCTCCAGCGGGAAGAAAGGTGCGCGTCCCACACAGACAAAGATGGGATAATGCTCTTTGAAATCCTGGAACTGAGAGTTAAGAGAGGTTTATGCAACCATCTCATTATGACAAACAAATTATTCTTAAGTCTCCTACTTTCTGAGAAAGAGAATCTGGCCTTGACATAAATGATAAGGAACAAAGGTTTATATGAAATGGCATTATTACCTTTGACTCCTGATAAGGAAGACCGAAGCAAGACCTTGGCAATGCTTTAGGTGCTGCATTGCACTTTCTGGGAAAAGAGAGAAAGAATAACAGCAAGCTGTCAAAGTACAATGACACAGTTTAAAACCTGATGAATCCACAGTAAAAGGGTCATAATGGATTCTTTTCCATGTGCATTTATACACGTGATTGACACGCAAAAAAATATTGATTGAAATGTATTTGATATAGAATGTACTTGAAAAATGAAATGTAAAATCTGTTATCGTTTACACACCCCTGATCAACCCCAACCTTTCTCTTTGCTTAAGACTTCTCTCTATACCTTAGTAAAAGTTGGTCTCAGCAGCTTTGTGTAAAGGTTTTAAGAGAAAACTCTTAACCAATAACTTTTACTGCTATTTAGGAGAACTCTTGTATCTAGTGGCAAGATAAAATGTTTTGTGAGTTCAGCCCCTGGTGTGTTACATAAGAAATGTGTAGAGTATTGGCAAGCCAGGACCAGGACTGAAAGCCACCGCTCTACGTCATTGATTCTCAAGCCTGTCCTGAAGAGCCCCGCAACACGTTACACATTTTGGATATCTCCCTGATGTAACACCTACATTTCAGACTGATCTCATGAAGTAGCGTGTGTATGCCACGCCAATTCGTATTTCCATTTTTGGCGTGCTATCAAGACGCATAATCGCCTTTCAGCGTGTTTATGAACGCCGTTGACTTAACGTTATATAAATATATGACTTACCTCAACTGGGGTTAATGGCATTTACAACTGGGGTTAATGGCATTTATGACTGTTCCCTTACCATCCTAGGTAAAAAAAAGATATGACTTACCTCAACCCCATCCCTAAACTTAACCGTCACTGGGGTTAATGGCATTTATGACTGGAGATTTGACTGTGTGTACAGACACCCGGAATGACGCGGACGTTAATGGCGTAGTATACACGCATACACGCGGATAGCTCAAAATGCGTGGAGATAACACTTACGCAAAAGTCATGATGTCATGTTGTACATTTACATTACATTTGATCATTTAGCAGACGCTTTTATACAAATGAGAGCAATAGAAGCAATTAAACAACAATAAGTCCTGTGACCCTTCCCAGTTTAGTCTAACGCAGTACACATGCATTGAAAAAAACAAAGATATAGAATAGAAAAGAAAAATAAAGTGTTGGTATTATTTCTGAAAAAGATGCGTCTTCAGCCGTTTCTTGCTACAGCAACTCGGACTGAGTTAGGCGGGTCATTCCCCCAGCAGGCAACAGTCCAGGTGAAGGTCAGTGAAAATTATTTTGTGCCTTTTTGAGATGATCACTTGCAGAACGCAAGCTTCTGGAGGGCACATAAGTCTGGAGTAATGAGTTTAGGTAAAAGGGAGCAGAGCTAGTGGTTATCAGTGCCTTGAATTTGATGGGAACGGCAATTGGTGAAAGTTTACGAAGAGAGATGTGATGTGCGTCTCTTCGGCTAGTTAAAGATCACTCTAGCTCAGTGTTGGGTAAGTTCCTCTAAAAAAGTAATTAATTACTAGTTACTAATTACCTCTCCAACAGAGTAATTAGATTACTGTACTAATTACTCTCTCTAAAAAGTATTTAATTACTTTTAATTACTAATTACTTTCAAAATCCCATATCAACCTCAACCAGCTGAATAATACAAGGATATACATGAATGTGTTAATTCTTTCAAATAAATACTATATAAAATAAAATTGCATGAATTATCCTTAAACTGACCAAGGTGGAGAAGGTTACATTATAAAAACATAGTTTTTAGCATTTCAATGTTAAACCCACTATTGTTTTATGTCTGATCTCATGACATTTCACACTTTTTCAATAGATATTTTACAATAATTCATACGAATTTTTACGAGTGTGGTCGTAATATTTAGACACCTCATAAAATGCATATGAATCCCTGTGAGATCGGATCGATCTATACACAGTATTTACCTCAATTACTGTACATCAGAAGTAACTGTAATGAAATTACAGATAAATGATGAGTAATCCCTTACTTTACATTTTCAAGGGAAAAGTAATTAAATTACAGTAACTAATTACTTAGTAATTAGTTACACCCAACACTGCTCTAGCTGCAGCGTTCTGGATCAGTTGCAGAGGTTTGACAGTGCAAGCTGGGAGGCCTGCCAAGAGAGCATTACAATAGTCCAGAGCACCTGATTTAACTCGGCTGATAGCACCATGGTGGTGTCTGAAAGCTCCACAGGAAGCACAAAGGCAACAAGGCACATCCAAATTCAATCGTGTCACATACCATCTCCTGAGATAACTTCATCTGATCAATTTTTGAAGGCAGGCTGCACACATATTCATGTTTTTTGTATCAGATATTCAACTAAGCAGATAAAAACTTCATAAAAAGTTGAGTTTTGAAAATGTGATCTGGACCTTATGCAGAGAATGCCATTGTAAAGTCTGTGTCCCTCACACACTCGTTTTCATCCATGTAATATTCAGCATGGCATCTATCCTGACTAAAGTCTACGAAATGGGTCAAAGACATCAAATTATGCAAACAAACACAGTCAGTTCTGTGAGCAGATAGGGGAATACCATCTAATGTGTAAAAATAAAAGTCTTACAGCATAAGGGGCCATTGAGACTTTTATAATTGCATAATTTAATAATATTAAATAGCTTCAATAGAAATTAAAATCTTACACAATGAATGCCAAAGAATGGATGGCTAAATATGATTGTAATTTCTAAATCAAGAGCGCTATAGAAATAATGTATAAATCTTGTAAGACTTCCCTTACTTTAAGGGCCTATAGCCTAGTCCATTTCTGTTCCCTACAATGAAACAATGAGTGAAGTTTATGTTCTGTTACTGCCATTTTATATGGGGTTCAATGGGTTATTGACCCTTATTGGGAAGAATGGGGTCAATAGAGCCATTACTTCCTAAATGTACCTTTCGGTTTACCAGCAATATATTAAATATGAAATATTGGGTGAGTTTAAAAGCATACTGCATGGATATTTACAGACTAAACATCATGACTCATCAAAATTTAAACTTTGTCTTATCACTGCAACCCCATGTAAGCCTGCTGGGTTATGACCAAAAAACACTTGTCCTAAAATGACCAATGAATAGAAAATTCAACATGCTTAAAGCTCTGAATGTCTCACTGCACCTGAAAAAGATGTACACCCCATGTTTTGCAACATTAATTTACTCCAACATATCAGTCCATTAGCTGATATGCATACGCCACATGGGCTACTGGTTTTAAAACAGTTTATGAACCACTATAAACATGTTTGCACATGATAAGACAAGCGGCAGCAGGGTTAAGCAGAAAGACTCCCGACAGAGAAAAAAACCATCAATCTAGAGCCTCATTTTAAACGAGCCATCAAACAGCTATGCGCTAATGAAATCAAAAGCTTTTGCAGCCATATCTGAACTGACATGATTGCGTCATAACAGATTATACACTTGTTTTGGAACATGCCGTTCTTGTGTACAGAAAACATCAACCTCGCAGTCAGGAGGAACAGCAGTGAGGAATCTTGGCTTCTCAGCCTTTTCATTATCTAGACCACATAAAGGGACAAAAACTCATTTATTTGACGTACTAACTTAACATGAATCGTTATTAAAGCAAACTTTAAAGGGTAACTAAACCCCTGGTCAGAGACTCCACCCACTGGCAATATTTGAAAATGCTGAAAAAGTGGGCTGACCCCAGCGGAGATAGAGGGGACGAAATAGATGCTAAAACACTCTATCCTGATCGTTTTCAATACTCACAATCCCAATTCCTGACTCCCTACAGTGGTTTTGACAACACAAGATGGTTTTTATACTGCCAAGGGTGTAGCTCGCGTGGTGAGCTGAAACCTGCGTACGTCACGAAGTGCGGAACATCCAATAGGAAAATTCAACTGCAGTAGCCATCGTTCAACCTGAAGAGGGCAGCACTAAGACGCTTTTACACCATATATTGTAGAAATAAAACACTTCATAAACAAATGTCAAAAAAGTGACTCGAACCAATGACTGGTATTAATAAAGATCCATTCTTACAGATCATTAACTAAAAAAAGTTGGTTAAGTGTTTAGTTACTCTTTAACATTAGGCTATTATAGACTGGATAAATTTGTGTCCAGGGATGGTTTGATACATTTCTGTGACTGGCGTGTGTGCCGTGCTGAATAAAGCCTTTCCCCTTCAATTAGTTTTGTCATAACAACTCGGTGTTTGGCGTAGTAATGGATATGACCATATTGATATGTTTGGTTGTGGCGGAATAGATCTGCTGTGCTGTTGCTGCAGAGCAACAACAGGAACTTGCTAGAGCCCGACCGATAAAGGATTTTGAAGGCCGATACCGATACAAATATTTTTGGGTTTTTAAATCCGATATTTTTATTTTTATTTTTTTAAACTGGACATGATAGTCACAAATTTTGTCATGCTTATTTGAGTTAAGGGAACTGATGGGGATGTTCTTTTGATTGTTATTCAAGCAATGTATGTATCGTGACCAACTCAATGAGTGTTGCCAACAGGAACGGTGTAGAGTGCCCTCTGGTGGACAAACTATACAACTCCAACACTAATGACATGGTTCAAGCGTGTTTCGTCCGTTTTTATTTTATTTTTGAAATATTCATTTATCGGCCATTATAACTGCCAATACCGATAGTTTGGAAAATGCCTAATATCGGCCGATAATATTGGTCTGCCAATATATCGGTCTGGCTCTAGGACTTGCTACTGCCAATACACACACACACACACACACACTGCTGTAATGGCGCTTTTCCATTACCAGTAAAGCTCGACTCGACTCGCTTTTCGCTCCGTTTTCCATTGCATACAGTACCGCCACAAATAGTACCCGGTCGTCATAGCGATGCCTTTCGTTCCTCGTTGTCCCATCAAGCTCTAGCTGGATCCTCTCTTCGGCAACCAAACAAAGGACCTCCTCGTTTGACCACGGCGTATTCTTCTGAGTTGCCATAATAATAGTAGTAAGTTTAGAAACTTTCTCTGGCCAAACTATTTAAAAATGGCGGGGATATTCTGGATCCTCCATCTGGCGCGTGCATTGACGAAGTGAATAGTGACGATTCTCTCTGACCAATCAGCAGTCGGCATTGTTTTCACGTCACATTTTGGTGTCGCCTCAGAACCTCGTTGGATGTGATACAAAAAAAAGCAGGAACAAGTACAACTTTAACACAGTGGAAAACCAAACAAAGGTGAGTCGAGCTGGTACTGTGTAGTGGAAAAGCGCCATAAGTGAGCAAGACATGCTGATGCTGTACAATATAGCAGACTGATCTCATGAAGTAGCGTGTGTATGACACGCCAATTCGTATTTCCATTTTTGGCGTGCTATCAACATGCATAATCGCTTTTCAGAGTGTTTATGAACGCCGCTGAGTCTGACTTAACGTTATTACTGTATATATAAATATATGACTTACCTAAACCCCGTCCGTAAACTTAACCGTCACTGGGGTTAATGGCATTTATGACTGTTCCCTTACCATCCTAGGAAAGAACAACATAGCTCCCCAGATGTAGATCTACATTTTGCTTTGTTTTGGTCGGACATTTG